GGCTGCTACAAATGACCGTTACAGAACTACTCTCGTTCACAAATTTTTTTTTCTTTTTTTTATGACAAAAATACGGTGGCGCTTGAGGCGCTAACATTCAGAATGAACATATAGGTACGACAGTGTTACGTTATACACTCCTTTTCGTTGTAAACGACGAGGAACCAAATGATGCCATTCGGCACGGAAAGAATAGAATGGAAAATTCCAGGAAATCGAATTTTAGGATTAGCACTAACAGTTATAACAGTACAGTATACAAAGACCTATACGCATAGATTTTCAGAATATGATAGGTTACAGAAAAATCAATTATTGTCCGTGAAGAATTACAAAACAATTCCACGCGAATTTTGAATTATTTACATTTTTATATAACGGAAACTGTACAGACAAGTTTTTGTTTTTTTCATTTCGTTAAAAATTTTAGTCTGGAAGTAATAGAAGAAGTACTGTATCGAAAATACATTTATTTAACAAAAAGGACCGTCGATACTCCGTCAAAAACCATACACATACACAAAAATCTTTACATTAAGAAAAGGTCACTTTGATATTAGTATTAACATCTATTGATAATCAAATAATATCTTTGCTCTATCATACGAAGTGTCTCCTTTAAAATATGAATAGATATCTTTATTCTATTAACAGGATTGTATATCGGGCTACTAAACTCCTCAGTCTACTGAAGGGCATATTCCGAAATACTTCTGTGTTCATAGAATAGAGATGTCTTTTCTTTTAAAAAATGCAGCGTTTTTAAAATTCTAGTCATGCATTTATTGTTCATACACCATTGTCGGAAATACCACAACTTACGTACAACAGACATGTTTGTTTGAAAGTAATAATAAATACCTTTTTGTTTTTACAGGATTTTTTGGAGTGAAATACGAATCCGAAACGAAAAAAACGAAGAAGTTATTATATCAGAAGCTCAGTTAAATAAAGTTTTGAACAGGCAATTGAAACATTACATCACATATTTTGAAAATTCGAAAGTACTGTATATGCCTTATTCAATCGAAACCATCAGACAATTCGTTATGTAAGTTTTTCACGATACTTATCTTTTATTTAATTGCAATACATTGTCATGAATTATAATTTATATTTTTTAAACAGTTATGTACAGACGGACGATCCCGGATTGACATTTATTACACACGCTTTCCATCTGTATCATCTGACTTTAAGATACGAGTTAGACGATTTAAGAAAGAAATGCAGATTATTTATCATTCGTCAAATAAAACTGGATAACGTCTGTTCAATCCACGATTTTGCACGTGAAATTGATGATTTAATTATAATTTATTATTGCTGGGTAGCTTTCAACCAATACGGAGGAAGACTATTTACAACAGACGACTTTATGTGCTGTAAAATTGCAACAATTGATAGACTGCTATCTCGAGCGATATATGAATCTGTCAGTGAATTGCGTTTACTCCAAGCCGTGTATCAGTGGAGCAAACATGAAGTTAAAAGAAAATTGGGTGCATACTGCTTCCTTTCGATGAATGAGGAATCGAAAAGGAATGCAATAAGATGTGTTATGAAGCCATTTATTGGAAAAGTCAGATTTCTTGCCATGAATGAAGAGGAATTGCGATATTATGTTTATACAGTGAACTTGTTACACGAGATAGAAAAGATTCATATCTGGCATGCTTTTAAGTATGGTAATTATTCCTATTATCCCAGTTACTTCAGTCGAGAAAGAAAAACCAGAAGCAGAATAAATTATTGTAACTTGTTCTCGTACATAAATCGTGGAGTTCCTTTTATGGTCGCAAACAGAAAGATGGAAGGTTACCTATATTTTAGCAGCGAAGTAGTTGTGAGGGAAGATTGTTATGTCACGGCCCTTCGATTTCCGGTGAAGCTTGGCGAAAGTTTTTCAATGTACGTATACGCGTATGTTAACAATTTGGATAACTGGCAGTTTTCGTTCGAGACCGTTTGTAATCCACAGGGAGTAGCAGATCTGCAAACGAAGTATTATCTAGAAAAATATTGGTCAATTCGTTTCCTTGCTTTCTTTTTCCCAGCTGAAAATGGTCAACCCGATATCGAGTTTTCACCTGAACTGAGTTACTTTGTGAGCGACAAAGGAACAGATGCCAGGAAATTTGAAGACAAATTTCTAATTTGTGACAGAACAATTATGAATAATATTTACTTTTTTGTTGATTTATGTTTTTGAAGTTAAAAGTTTCTATGAAAGAAAGCGAAATCTAAAGTAGAATATAATGTAAAGTTAAATTCGAATATGATTATTTCTTAGTGTATTGCTGTAAAATTTCCGCAAAATGCGCGTGTGTACGTGAACGGGATAATGAATTTATTGGATTTACAAAAAACAAAATTGAAATTTAAAGTGCTCATTAATGTATTTTTTTTCTGAAATGTAAATTGTCATTAGTCGACTTGTTTATAATTCAAAATTTAGTATTTACAAATATATCATTAAAAAAGTTTATAATTGTCAGCATTTGAATTATAATTACGTGGGTGATTTCATTTTTTATCGCAGTAGATTTTTGAGAAAAAAAATATGATTACAATCTTACAGCATTAATCTTTTATTTCTTCATGTTAATGACGATAGAAATATGAAAACTTGAGAAGAATTTTTATCTAAATGTAAGAGCTATTCGATATCCACATTTGATTAAACAAAATATAAACAGTGGAAATAAGAAATTCTCTTATATATTTTTATATAAATTTTAGATACAGATAATGAAATTTTCAATTTATAAATCATACATTTTTGAAGTTATATTGAATTGTTCCAAGAGAAATTTTTATATTTAAATTAATATTTTTTTTTTCTGATTTAAAATTCATGTTACCTGAGATTACCGAATTATCTCCAATTTAATTTTCTGAAAAATGAACAAATTAATTTTCTGTTATTTAATATTAAATTCTTGAATAAAATTTCAATATACATATTAGAATAGCTGTAAATTACTTGTTTCAAAAATATTCAATTGCACAGAGCATGATAACGTTGGTGTCCCAACTAAGAAACGCCCAAAATTCAATATTTTGTATAAAGCGCGCAATATAAATTTAATATAAATGAACTGATTTGTAAAATGTTTTCAATTGTTTTGTTGTTTAAATCATACATATTTATAGTTTTCTGAGGGAGGTAAAGAGCTGCTTTATTTTTAACACTCCTTTTCGGAGGAGCGAATATGTAAACCTCTTTTTTCGTATCAATTATAGAGCAAGCGGATATTCAAAAACGGGACCCTACACGTTAATTTTTCTTTGTTAATTAACTTCTCCACCATTTTGTATATTGGTATAGAAGACAGCGATTTCACAATCAACAGTTTTTGCATTAATTTTTATTGTTTAATACTCGTATTAAAAAATGCATAATTTTTAAAGTTGTTCAAATTTTCTGTAGTAATTTCAATATTAAAATGTAAAAGAATAATTTTTCCTTAATTATTATTTCGTTATTTTCGTTTTTTTTTTTTCCTTTATCTCCTTCAACAATATCCTGCAACAATAATGTATAAATTAGCAATAAGTACAAATATCTGATTGTAATAAATTCAATTGTTAGAACTTCTGTAAAGGAAATTTTCTTTAAATGTCTATCTTAAGAATCATCGAGTGCCATTCAGGCAGACCCATCTTTAGATGCGACTGGTGGAAAATAATAGGGCCCGACATATTTTTATGAAAATAGCCGACGAAAAATTTTTGTAGTTCTTCGCCTGCCAGATTTTATCCTGAATGCCCCGAAATAGTTACCTCCGCGATCTACTCATATTAATATTTATAATATTATACTTACCACAATAACTTCAGGAGGAGCGTCAAGTGTATCTGCATCTACATCCTAAAAATTCAAATTTATAAATTTACTAGCTTACTCAGCGTACCCAGGATTATAAAATAAAGTTTAAAACATAATAAATTGTTAATTTACGAAAATATTATTTAAAAAGAAAAATATCCGAGTCCTTATATGTAGTAATTTGACTTTAATATTAGAAACGGAAAAACAATACTTTTCACAGTATAACCTGGAAATGTAAAGATGTTTTTAGGAAGTCTTCGGAGTACATTAATTAATATTTGATCCGCATTGAATAGGTTGTGATGGCCCTGCTCATGACTTATTTTTACAACATTATCAGTGTGCCTAAAACTATGTGAGAATTATGTTTTTAGAAAAAGCGAGTTTAATAATAAGAAACTATTAGATTTAAGAAAGTACCATTTAGAAATGAAACTACCCGAATTGTTAGATGTGAGAAATTAATTACTTACATAGTTTTTATGGTATAACACTTTCGACCCCAGGCAGGTGAGTGCTATTTAGTAATGTTGCAGTAATAATACAGAGCGACTATTAGATCAAGTTTAAATGAAGATGTGAGCAAGGAACTGTCCATTTGTTGTTCACTTATATTTCAGTATATGCACTGTTAGTTTTCACTTTCGTTGTTGTGAGAAATCCTTCACTTTCTGGTTTTGACCTTCTGTACAAGAGATAGCTATCATCTCCGGTTTGATTTTCCACTTTAAATTCTAGCTTTAGAGATTTGAACCTTGTGGAGAGCTTCATAAGTTTGTCACAGACCCTACTAAATGACTTGAATGTCGTTCTCTTCTCTAACTCATCTGACTAATTCCATTGATATTATATGGTGTGAGGATCCGAATCCACACTTTCAGTATGTTGATATCATTATCTCCTAATGTCACATCGTCACTATAAACTTGATACATAACTGTCAACTTCCGCACCTGGGAGAAAAACATCTGTTAAGTTCTCAGGACTGACAACGATGCTTTCTCATCACCTCTCGACCTAACATCTCGATTTCAACAGTTCAAAATATAGAACAAGACAGCACAGTGGGGGAGTCGTCACCAGTTCTTCGATCGGACCATCGAATTATTTTTTCCTGTATTACGTATAACCTGTGCTCTTTTGGATACCTCCTCGCTTTTGAATACCTCGTTTAATATCCAGGATAATGTCAGAACTATTGGAGTTAGAACTGTCTTGCCGAACTTTCTGTCTTGCCGACAGCCTACCGATCAAGATATCATAAAAGGATTCTTAGAAAATACCTGTCCTGTCTTGCAGAATATTACTTGAAGAGTTTCTTCCGAGCTAAACATTTTTCTTGCTATTCTTTTACTTTAATTTTGTGATCTGTCGACTTAATGAGTTTTCTTGCAAAAAATGTAAAATATTTGAATGTATAACGTTAAATTAAGTTTACACTGTGTGATATATAAAATTGTACACATTTGTACTGCAATTGTTTGTAATAAATTGACTTCGATAACGAAAAGTTTTATGTTCTGTTTAATGCTATTAGCAGAATATTGTGATTAAAAAAAGCACGTCCCAATTTACCATAAACCAATTTCACTGTACATATAAATTATGTGACTAACAACAGATAAAGTAAATATAAGTACAACTTTTAACAAAGTTAAAGCCTTTGCTTTACTAATTTTCTTCCGTCGTTCACACACCTCCACAGTTCATAAAAGTCACTAAAATTACGAAAGAAAATGACTAAAGCAAAGGTTTTATCTTTGTGAAAAGTTATACTTATATTTATTTTATCTCTTATCTGTCGCGTAATTAATCATTGATAATTCTACATCATTGATAACACGGGATTAACCCGTCAAGAGATATGTCTTTTATGTAATCGAATTTATAAAAAATGAAAACGTATGAAATTTAAATCAGTAATTATTCCTTTTAAATTACTGGTAAAAACGTACTGTTTGAGGATATTTGAATTTAAAAGATTCTGCAAATTTGACATCAATTATTAAAATTAAAATTATATTAAAGTATATTATTAAAACACTAAGAAATGTAGCTATAAGCGATTTTCTTAGTTAAGAATCAGTAATATTTCGTGCTAAGTTTCCACTAATTAACTATTTCAATTTCGTATTTCTTAGAACAGTTTCACGTGGAATGTTTCAAAGTAAATATTCGTTTATCATTGCAATTACGTAAGATATGTTTTTTTTTATTTTATTGGCTAATGTAGTGAATATATAAATAAATTTATTAAATTTAGTGAATATTTACTAAATATAAAGTAGGGAGTAAAATAAAGTTTCCTTGTTTTCCATACCCCGTCGTCAAACATAACTGAAAGGTTCTGATTTATGTTTTGGCTGTATCGTAGGATTTGCTTTGTATTAAAAAGAAAACATGCCATTCGTGTTAACTAATCGAGAATACTCTGAGGATAACTTCACATAGTTTTGGACCAGTAATGGAAGTATTAATAACTGCATCTCATTTATTTTTCAGATTTTTCAATACTGGTCTTAAGTATTGCCAAATATCGTTTGTACATTTAAACTTCTTCGTGTTAACAATTGTAAAGTTTTTAAAATATATCATTTAATTGAAAATTATTGCTACAGTTAATTATTTTTTTTGAATGTCTAATTTCTACATTTTTTCTTTAAGATGTATCTTGGAAGAAGCCAACATTTCTCTTGAAGATTTACATCTGAAAAAAAAAATGGATTTGATATTGTGAAGTGATTACTTCCAAGCTATGCAGAAGTTACTTTTTCTGCATTTCTTTACAGTAATTCACATAAACGAATTACACTCACTGCCAAAAGTTAAACACTGAGCGATAAACTGCGAATAAATCAACAAATACAGCTGTGATTGACAGGAAATGCGGCAGGACAGTAGCAAATATGTTTATGCATGAAAAAACACAAAGAATTTCATAGAAAAATGAAAACAATATTGAATTTTCATAAAGTATAATGTTAAATCATATTGGAATTATTAACAAAATGATGTTTAAATCCAAAACAAACAAACAAAACCGACATTAATAGGGTAAATGGTCACCCTTATCCTTACACAAAGTTTACAGCATGTAACCATGCTTTCCATGAGGTGATCAACCACTCCAAAATCAAATAAGTGTCATTCCTCCTGTAGAGCAGTTTTCAACTCTGTGAGAGTGGCAGGGGATGGAAAACATGCACACACAGCACGGCCGAGAGCATCCCAAAGATTCTATTTGGGATTGAGGTCTGGCGAACACACCGGCCAATCCATACGCACAATTTCCTCACTCTTGAGATAGTCGTCGACGAGGGCAGCTCTATGGGGTCGTATGTTATCATCCATTAAAACAAAAGCGAAACCAACTGCTGTAGCATACAATTTCACAATGGGTTCGAGGATTTCATCCGGATACTAGACAGCCGTCACAGAACCTCCTCGATAGATGTGCAGGTCGGTGCGATATCCCAATGAAATGCCTTCCCACATCATAATGGTTCAGAATGCGTGTTGCTTGATAATGTTCTGTAATCAATTGCATGTGCCTTTTTCTCTCCATACTTTTA